GTGTGTGTGTGCGTGTGTGCGTGTGTGTGTGCGTGTGTGTGTGTGTGTGTGTGTGTGTGTGTGTGTGTGTGTGTGTGTGTGTGTGTGTTCGCATATGTGCATGTGTGTGCATATATGCATGTGTGTGCATATGTACATATGTTGTGTGTGCATGTGTGTGCATATGTGCATGTGCATATGTGCATGTGTGTGCATATGTGCATGTGTGTGCATGTGCACATGTGTATGCATATGTGCATGTGTGTGCATATGTGCATATGTGTGTGCATATGTGCATGTGTGTGCATATGTGCATGTGTGTGCATATGTGCATGTGTGTGCATATGTGTGTGTGCATGTGTGTGTGTGCATATGTTGTGTGTGCATATGTGCATGTGTGTGCATATGTGCATGTGATATGTATGTGTGCATGTGTATGTTGATAAAATGTGTGTGTGTGTGTGGTGTGTGTGTGTGTGTGTGTGTGTGTGTGTGTGTGTGTGTGTTGTGTGTGTGTGTGTGTGTGTGTGTGTGTGTGTGTGTGTACACATATGTACATGTGCAAGTGTGTGTGTGCATGAGCATGTGTGTGAGAGCATGTGCATGTGTGTTTGGACACATCCTGAGATAAAACAAATGAAAAATATTGGTAACAAAATAACTATAATATCATAAAATATTTTACCTCTAAATTCCAAACTCCCTACTTGGAATTAATGATCGGTCTTATAAGAATAATTTACAATAAAATTGTACCCCTCCTCCGTTTACAAATTTGTCCACTAACAATGCAATTCAGGTGGCACCTACCTAAACTCTCAAAACTGCTCTTCCACTATGCTACACAGAGAACCTTGTGTTAAATCCCCTCCCATCTAAATTGACTATATAAAAGAAACAGAGAATGAGTAAAAACAAAGACAAAACTATGGTCAAATTCTTATGTTGATCGACCTCTTCTACTAAATATTTTGCTATACTGATAAACAGTAAATGAAGGATAAATAAAATATAAGAAAACAATAACAAGAGAACTAATAACAGTAAATCATAATAGCAACCTGAACATTTGATCATCACTGACAATTGTTCAATACAACTATCAGTTACAATATCTGAGAAAGAACAGTATTAGAAAGTGTTCCTGAACAAGAAGTAAAAGGTTGAAGAATAGAATAACATTTCAAGTAACAACTGTTATTAAGATTATCTGTGTACACATGTAGGTACCAATTGTTTGAGGATGTGTGCCACTAGTATGAGAAATAGCAATTAAAAATAAAAGGAATCTGAGCTAAATGGTTTACAAACAGTTTTAAATAAGGGCAGTGTATGCTGAGAGTGTACTTTTGTGAATAAGTATAATGGTATAAAATCTGGTGTAGTTGTAGAGTACATCCTAAAATACAAGTAGTAAAAGGATAAATATTGGTGAAGGTATAGGAACCATGTGAGGTGTAAACCTGTCTGCTTACAAAAAAAAAAATACATAAGAAAAATAAGGTTCAAGCTAAACTGAAAAAAAAAAAAAAACATTGAAGCATAAGATTCTGTCCTTTCCAACTATGCTATGGCTGCTAATCTACCTTATGATGGCGAACTGGCTGACAATGTAACCCACCGCAAACTTTGGGACCTCTTGTCTTCAAAGAAAAATTAGAGTCGGATTCAACTGGATCCTGACTGTCACAACAACATGTTCCAATTATGTTACAACCAAAGATAATGAGTATGACAACCAACAAAGTGATCTGTAAAAACTTGTTATGACATTGACTTGGCATTAACATATACAATGTATACGTATTACAGTAAGAAACAGTTTCATTATTACCTGATAATTATAGAGCCCAAAAAACTTTGGTAATAATGTTCTAGGATTCTGGTTCAGATTCTGAAAAGAAAAAATATTTCATTAGACAATTTTATATCAGCATTGTTAATTAGCATTCTTTGCCTTTGCAAATTGGCAAGTAAAGGTAACATTTGTATAACACTAGCTTCACCCCATAAATGGTCACACTTGATAACACCAATTATGATCCTGGTCACTTTTTCATATCTTATGCTGTGTGCCAATCTGCAAAATCAGTTCAATTTTACTACTGATTAGCATAGTCCAAATTCAAATAAAACTCCAAGGTTTATTGGTTCTTGTAGAAAAACAAAATAATGTCATTGACTGAAACAAGTGTTTAGGGTCTGTGCTATTAGATATCTAATTACAACAGTTTTTTCCTTATCACAGCAAAATCTCTCCTTGATTTCCATGGGACAGAATGAACAAAAAATATTGCAATTTGTATAAAGTAATTTTTCAGACACTTGCATGAACATAATCACTACTGATGGCAACATTTTAACCCACTGAGACTGAGAGGGCATTCATTCATGCCTGACCACCGTAGTTTTAGTTTATTAACCCAATGTCGACGGGAAGATGGTGTGTTCCCTTTGGCAATGCTTGGTTAAATGTTTTTGCACATAGATGGCTCTGCCACAACGGAATCAACTAGTAGATCTTGCAACCTCACTTTTCCTTGAAAAAGCGGGAAAATGTTTTTTTTTTTTTTTTTTTTAACTGATGTTGTCAATATTTTTGTTATAAACATTATAATTAATATATTGTTACTGACATTACTAACAGCACTATCAAATACTAGAAAATATTATCGAAAATCAAGGAAAAGGGTAAACAGGTGAGACAGGTAGTTTGCGTAATTGGCTCATTGGTGACAGCACTTGTGGAGCCATCTATATGTAAAAACAATTACAAAATTTAACACACATAATGTGTATGGCATGTACGTACATGCCATGCCCGGCAGCTTGGGGTTAATTTTGTTTAAACATAAATAGCTCTACAACTGCTTATTCACTACGGAGTCAATTACTGAACCCAGAAGTTTCCATTTTCATTACCATTAATATCATTACAAAGGTTATAATAACGATAATGTACATAAAAACAATACTCATAATATCATTAGTGACAATAACAAAATGACAAATAAAAATAGTATTCATAAAAATCCAATGAATGGGGTAAAAAGGTAAGGTCATATAGGTCTACTAGTATTGAACTCCTTGGTGACTAAGGACTTGTGGAGCCATCTATGTGTAAATAAAACAGACAAAAGAAAAACTACAACAGAAAATGCATGAACTCAGGTCCAAAGGGTTAAATTTGAGGTGAAAAATTTATATTTGTACTTGTACAAATCACAGATGGTAACCCTTACAATTCATATACATTTTTGTGGTTGAGCATTTATGGGTTATTGCTACAAATTAAAAATAGTCTGCTTTCATTTCTGCTTAATTATCAAAAGAAAAAGTCTATATATATGAAGCATAAACTTATTTATTACCATTTACTTCTAAAATTAGTCAAATATACCACAAATCACAAAATATAGCATAAGGAGGACATGAAGAAGGTAGAAAAAAAGGAAGATAGAGAGGAGGCAGAAAAAAATGAAAAAGGAAAAAAGAGGAGGGGGGAAAGGGATAGGGGTTACAGGAAGAGAGAACGGGAAAAGGAAAGGGAAGAAGGGGCAGAGGAGGAGGGAAGGGAAGGAGGAAAAGGGAAGGGAGGTGGTGGAGGTCGAGGTAGAGGAAGAGGGAAAAGACGCTGAAAAAAAAAAAGGAAAGAAAAGGAAAGAAGAAGAAGAAAAAAAAAAAGAAATTAAAAAACTAAAAGAAAAGAACATAATAGGGATAAATCTAAGATGGAGAATGAAATAAAGGAAGCAAAAAAGGAAGAGAGAAGAGAAACAGAAGAATACCAATCTTACCATATAATATCCTGGCAATAACTTTTGAAGGAACTCTGCCTCCTTGTGCTGCACTGTCTTGATGATAAACTCATCATCATTTGTTAAATAAAATATGCTGCCACTCGCCCCAGGATTACTTAGTTCCCGAAGAGGCTCGCTGCACAGTGAAACCTGAAGTGGAACAATGCAACATTATTTTCAAATGGTAATTACAAGAAATAGTGTATCAATTATTTGCACTTTATAACTATAAGATGAACTGAAAATAATTGATAATCTTTCAGTATACATCACTGTCCACTTTCTTATGACTTACTATTAATATAATCATACAAAAGTGTAAATGGCAGTTTTAATAACAATATACTTACAAGATAGTCTTCTGGTTGAATTTTAAACAGATCTCTAAAATGTCTAAATGCTATGGGTGCATACACTTTGAATCTGAAAAAAAAAAGTAGTTGTTAACTTGAATATGTTCAAAAACTTTGCAAACAGATCATCTTTAATAAAAGTGTGTGTGTGAGAGAGTGAGAGTGAGTGAGTGAGTGAGTGAGTGAGTGAGTGAGTGAGTGAGTGAGTGAGTGAGTGAGTGAGTGAGTGTGTGAGCGTGTGTGTGTGTGTGTGTGTGTGTGTGTGTGTGTGTGTGTGTGTGTGTGTGTGTGTGTGTGTGTGTGTGTGTGTGTGTGTGTGTGTGTGTGTGTGTGTGTGTGTGTGTGTGTGTGTGTGTGTGTGTGTGTGTGTGTGTGTGTGTGTGTGTGTGTGTGTGTGTGTGGTATGTATGTGTGTATGTGTGTGTTGTGTGTGTGTGTGTGTGTGTTGTGTGTGTGTGTGTGTGTGTGTGTGTGTGTGTGTGTGTGTGTGTGTGTGGTGTGTGTGTGTTTGTATATGTGTGTGTGTGTGTATATGTGTGTGTGTGTGTATATGTGTGTGTGTGTATATGTGTGTGTGTGTGTATATATGTGTGTGTGTGTATATATGTGTGTGTGTGTGTATATGTGTGTGTGTGTGTGTGTGTGTGTGTGTGTGTGTGTGTGTGTGTGTGTGTGTGTGTGTGTGTGTGTGTGTGTGTGTGTGTGTGTGTGTGTGTGTGTGTGTGTGTGTGTGGTATATATATATATATATATATATATATATATATATATATATATATATATATATATATATACATATATATACATATATATATATATATATATATATATATATATATATACAAAAAAAAATCCTAGACAAACCTTA